TAATGAGTATTTAAGCAAATACTCAACAAATACTCATAACTAAATATTTGTTGGATATTTACTAAGTATTTACAAAAGCACAACAAATACTCAATAAAAGCACATCTAATTCGGATGGTTCTTGTCGTCGGGATTCTGCATATAAAAAATTCTCTTGTTTGAGAGCTTGAGCTATTATTTAAGAGATTTGAGGTTGATGTATGTGTGAATTTGACTTAATTAGTGAATGAATCTGTGTCCAATAAGAGAGAGATTTTAATGTGAGAAACTCTAAGATTTCTAGGGTTTTTTTCACGCCTCTATTATCACCTTTTTCCCCTTCTCTGAGGAGGACCCCATCTAGGATGTCCTTCTCTTCACCTTCAAGTGTACCTGAACCCTTAAAGGATCTCTTTCCCTATTAACCTTAGATGATGGCTTCTTCATCCTCAAGTTCTCTACGATTGAAGATTATGAAATAGCATGGTTAGGAGGACCATGATTCTTCTTCGACGAGACTTTCATCATGTAGAAATGGACCCCATACTTTGATCCCATCCGCAAAGAATTCCCGAATATCCCTCTCTGGATAAAAATCAAGAATATGCCCCTTTCTTGCTGGACGCCTGAAGGAATATCTAAAATTGTTAGTTTTGTTGGAGTTCAACTGGTGGTCGATGCCTTAACGGCGGCAAAAATTGGACTTAGTTACGCAAGAGTTTGTGTTCAGGTTAGCATTTCTTCCCCTCTCCCTGACAAAATTTAGATTTGTCTAGAAGGGAAGATCACCCCCCTTACAATTTTATATGATTGGAAATCCTCACCTTGCTCCCACTGTGGCTCTATCATACAATCCCCTAGCAACTGCCCCAAAAACCCCACCCACCCCCCTCAACAACCAATGCTCCCGCACGGCAAGAGTACCAGCTGCCAACCTCGCATCACTCCCCCTCTTAGTTTAATTATACACAAAACTCCTCTACCACCAGCTTCACTTTTAACATTATCCTTTTCACAAGGTACGATGCCACAACTTTGACTACCTCAATGGCTCCTAATGCCTCTACCATAAACCAACCCCAAACCTTAATTTCCCATCGGAGGATTTGCCCCTTGGTTCCTCTAAATTCTTTTTTGATAATAATACTTTCACTAATAACCCACCTCTACAACCCATAGCCCAAAGCCCTTCCCTTCCCACCAAAAACAAATTCTTTGCTCTTTCTAATAACAATGAAACCCATGATGAACCACATATGAAGCTCTCAACCCTTGAAGTCTCAGACAACCAAAAACCACACAATGACCAACCTCAATCAGATTCTACTGGGAATCAGAGTTTTGTACACACTACCTCTTCACATCACAAAGGCAATACATATAACACTAAAACCATAAGAGCTAAGCATGCCAAAAAGGCATCCACCCTCACTTATAAATCTCAATAACCATTTCCCTAATGGGAGCTTAGAACGCTTGTGATTTTAATAGCCCGAATAAGGTGATACGTTGTAGACAATTCGTCAATAAAAATAAACTAGATCTTATGTGTATTATAAAAGTGAAGGTTTCTAGTCAATTGGCCTCTGACCCCTGGTTCACCTCCACTCAGGTAATCTTTATCAATGAAACCTCGTATAACAATCTTTATTGCTCTAGCCCAGGTAGAATATGGATCAAATGGAATGCTCTCAGATTGAATTTTTAGCATGTTTTCACTTTGAGTCAGATTATTCATAGTATGCCCATATACTCCTTTTACCATAAACTCAAAACTCTTAAAAGGAGCATAAAACAAAATCTTGGGCCACCTCTAATCTTCTCAAGAAGGATGTTGAGAATCTCACCATTGCCAAAAAATATTACCTTGCTCAAATTCATTACAACCTTACTGATGTGATCTCAATGTTGCCTTAAAAGCTATTAACATTAAACTGGCATATTGCAATTCGCATGGTCTAACTGGATAGCTCAAAGAGCCAAAACTGCTTGGTTTACCCATAGGGAGGATGATCTAAAATTTCTCTATTCCATAATTAATGTTAGACGTAATACCAACCTTATAAAATCTATTGTTACTTCCGATGGTGTTCTTACTGATCCCGAAGACATCTATGAAGCTGCCATTCAGCACTTCAGAAACCTTTTTAATACCCATACACTTCTTATTCCTGACTTTAGCCCTAACCCAACTAGAGGAAAGATCCCTTCTTCACTTCTCCTTGCATTGGTTGTGCCAGTTACGATGGAAGAAATTAAGGCTATTGTTTTTCTTCCCCTTCAACTTCGGCCCCTGGCCCCAACGGGTTTACCTTTGACTTTTATAAAGAAACTTGGAACACTATTGGCAAACAACTTTTTGATGTGGAGTTAAATTACTTTTCATCTGCCTCAATGCCTGAGCAAGCCAAAGCAACCATAATTACCTTAATTCCGAAAAGGCCACATGCAACTACCATCTCGAATTACATACTGATCTTTCTTTGCAACACTTTCTATAAGATTGTGGTTAAGATTCTTACCAACAGCATGAATGACATCATGCCCTTTATTGTTCATCTTAGTCAAGCATGATTCATCAAAAATAAATTTATATCTGATAATATCATATTGACTCCTGAGCTTCTTGTGGAATTTAACATCAAGGCTAGGAACAAATACTTTTGTACTAAATTTGATATTCAAAAAGATTTCAACATGGTCTCTAGATGTTTCTTTCTTAAACTTATGCATGACAAAGGTTTTCCTCCCAACTTCATTTCTTGGATTAAAGGCTGCATTACTGATGTTCATTTTTTCATCTTTATTAATGACCCTTTAGAAGGTTTTTTTAACTCATCTTCAACTCTTAGGCAAGGCTACTCACTTTCACCTTACATCTTCAGTATTGTAATGAATGGTCTGTCTTCTTTATTTGAGGAAGCAATCATTAATAATCTCTTCCAAGACCTCTCTATGAGCAGATCTTCCATTTCGCACCTGCTTTATGCTGATGACCTGTTTGTTTTTTGTATTACGACCACTCAAAATGCTCATGCTCTTAAGGAGTTGTTGACTCAATTAGTTGCTTAATTACTTGGGTTTACATATTAACTTTGAGAAAAGCTATATTATTTTATCAAAAAATGTAACTTTAGCAACTGCTTTTGGTAATATTTTGAATGTCCCTTATTCTCAAAACCCCATTAAATACCTTGGCCTCCCTATTCATTATAAGAAACTGCACAACTCAAATTTCCAGCCACTTTTGCAAAAATTGTATTGTTCCTTATAAGGTTGGAAAGCTAAAACACTCTCTTTCACCGGGAGGATACAATACTTGAAGTTCATTGTTTGTAATTCTTTGGCCTATTGTATTAGATGGGTTATAACCCCCAAAGCTTGTTGTAAAATCATTAACAGGATTTGCGCTAGATTCCTTTTCTTTGGAGACATTTATAAGAGGAAATTTTATATGGTTTATTGGAAAGACACATGCATACCTAAACAATTCAGCGGGATTGTCATTCCTGTTATTGCTTCTCTTTACCATGCATTCAGCTGCTCTTTGATATGGCAATTTTTTAATTCTAATATAATTTTATTTAGTTCTTGGAGGGCTAAATACATATCTTTTTGGAATTCTTCTCCCTGATATTCTGTTTTCTTGAAATTCATTTGTGATGTAGTAAGGAAAGTGCAACATTGTTTAAGTTTCAAAGTGATGAACAATGCCAATCTTTCTCTTTCGTGGGATCTTTGGTGTTATGGGAGGTCTGTTATGGAAATTTTATCTAAACATTCTTTGGAATAAGTAGGCCATAGCCTCTCTCTCTCTCTCTCTTGCAGGTCAAATGTATTATCCTTAATGGACAATGGAACTTCCTCTCCATTATACCTTATGTCATTACCTTTGTTATTTCTTCTATGTCGATTTCTGGGGGTGATATGGTTTGTCAATGGCTTCCTTTTGATAAACCTATTTTTCAGGAATTTCATTTTATAAGCTTTTGCTAATCATCCTAAGGTTTATTGGTATAGATTTATTTGGCATAAGCATTTTGTTCTTCGTTTCTCTACTTGTGCTTGGCTGGATTTTAAGTAGAGTTTGAAAACTCCATATCAATTAAATCGGAGAGGAATTTCTGTTGCTACAAATTGCATTTTCTGTTCCTAGGAGCTAGAAACTCACACTCATATTTTCTTTGAATGTGAATTCACTTTTGGTATCCTTAAGGATATGATCTCTCAGACTACTTCCCTGTTTTTGCGTCCCAACATATTCCAAGCTTTCTCCTTTATTGATGATATGATGGTCTGTAAGCAACTGAGAGAATTTTTCTTCCTTCTCACTTGTGCTACAATCTATTTTCTATGGGGAGCTAGGAACGATAGGTTATTTGGGAATACCTACGGCTGCAAGACTATGATTACAAGAAAAATTAAGAGAGTAATTCTTTATAAAACATCAAAATTGAAGTGTTTTCATCTATTTCGACATTTGCTTCTCTGAATTTCGATGTCCCTTAGATGGTATTACAGTTGTTGCGGTGGAAGATTAATTTTTTTTCCTGGATTTTGGTTTTCTCCGCTTCTATATCCCATGTAGACGGTCTTTTGACGCAACCCGGGATTCTAGCTGATTTTTGTGCCCGAAGATATCATTTTGGATGGACAATGATGAATTCTGGTGCTACCCAGCTTCTCCTTGGACGGTCTTTCTTGGCAACCAGGAGTTTTTGATGCTCTATTTGCTGCTGGAGGTTCACATTTTGATGAGAATTATGAGTCTTCATTGCTCTCTTTGTCCCTTTTATAATTTTTGTTAGTTGTACTTTCTTTATACTTCTCATGGCTATCAATTTTGCTTTTGGTCAATCTTTTGTAGTTCTTTCTCCGCTTTTTCTTGTGACGTTTTTATTAATAGAATGGGGTAATGCCCCAAAAATCCTCCCACCCAAAAAAAAAAAAACTTAATTTGTTTAAATGTTTTAGCTTAAAACTTAAAAGGGAGGTCTTTTAAATTTCACATAATCAGTTATAGTCCCTAAAAAAAGGGAAAAACCGAAAAACCACGACTGACGGCTTCCGCTCCAGTACTTATAGGTGTTGGTTTTGGTTCCGGGGTTCTTGCCCGGATTGCCGCGGCACGGAGATGGCGGCGGCGTTGGAATGCTGGTCCGGCCGGCCGAGCACCGACGAGGACATGGTTGAACAAGTCCTCATGAAAACTCACCACCGCTCCGAAGCCTTCCCTCCCCTGCCATCCTCTGTTGGATCCGCTTCCGCTCCTACCTCCACCCCCGCTTCACCAAACTCCACTTCCGCCGGTTCACCTCCGTTGAAGAAGTGGCATCGCCTCGGTCGCAACTTTTCGGGCGCCATTGCCGCCCTCAAAAACTCGCTAAACCTTGACTCCTCAGCCCCTCCCCGCGGCGAGAGCAAGCTGTCATGGGGCGGCGTTGTTCGCAGCCTTGCTCAACTATTTCCCAGCAGCCAGTTGCCGGAGAAGCTCGTTTCCGACATCCGCCGCCATTTCGACTCCCTACCGAACAGCTACTCGCAAGCTGGCTTCGATATGAAGGACATCATCCTCCATATTCGCTTAGTCGAACAGGTCACCGCCGACGACCTGCCCGCCTTCCAGATCCAGCAGATCTCTGGCGAAAACTCAGGAGGCGGTGAAGGGTCTGTCTACAAACTCACCTTCGTCTGCAACTCGTCCTTTTCGTGGCCAACGATGTCCAGTGCGATGGACGGTTCCGTGCTCTGCTACAGGAAGATCCAGATCTTCGAGAAAAAGGGTCTTATCCTCGGCGTCGTCAACGTCGTTATCCATCCCAGCGGCGAGAAGCATTTCAAATCCAGAATCGACGTCGCCCTCCGATCCGCCTCCAAGAAACCGAGAGCCCAAGGCGTCAAGCTTCCATTCAGCCTCTGCGGCTGCCAGGAAGAGGGTCTGAGGGCCACCGATGACGATTCCCAGTTCGCGTCCGATTACTCGGCAGCCACTGACATCCTCCGACGAACACATCTCCCGAACCCACTGCCCGAATCATCGCTGGTAGTCTCCATTGACGAGTGGCAAACCATCCGCTCCGGCGGTGAAGAGCTCGGCCGTTTTCTACTCGGCACTGACGAGATGGAATTCATCGAAAGGGTTGGAGCCAGTTCATTCAGAGGATCTTATAAAGGAAAGAAGGTGTGGATTAAGAAATTGAAAGGGTGTGAAAGGGGAAACGCCTATGAGATCGAGATACGGCAGGACTTGATGCAGCTGATGAACTGCGGGCAGAAGAATTTATTGCTGTTTTGCGGAATCTGCGTCCACGACAGCAATGGGCTCTGCGTCGTGACCCGGTTGATGGAGGGAGGATCAGTTCATGATTTGATACAGAAGAACAAGAAGGTGCCAGTCCGTGAGGTGATGAGGATTGCCTTGGATGTAGCTGAGGGGCTTATGTTCATGAACAACCATGGAGTGTCTTACAGAGATCTCAACAGGCAGAAAATCTTGTTGGATCGGCAAGGGAATGCTTGCCTTGGAGACATGGGCATTGTTTCTTCTTGCATGAGTGCAGGGGAGGTTACAGAGTACGAGACTGCCGGCTACCGATGGCTTGCTCCGGAGGTGAGACTCCTTTCTTCTACTTGTTATTTTTCTTTTTCAAATTCCTTGTTTTGTTTTCTATTCTTGTTGAAATGCTCCATAATTTTGAGCATTAAACTTTTAATTTTGTCATATATTTTCTCTATTGATGGAAATCGCATCAAATATCCTGATACATTTTTATATCGATTATAGTAATTAATAGTAAAAAGTACTTAAATTTTTAATCGAATGTTTTAGATCAGATTTTTTGGGTTTAAGAAATCGTCTTTAGCTTGATAGAGTTTCTTAAACTTGTTTAATGATTCGCCATTTGTCGCACTTCGGTGATTCGATCAGTCTTATTAATTTGTTGATAGGGTTTCGCAATATTTTATGGTCAATTATCCTTTATTGCGTGTTGCTGCTCCAACAAGCCTTTTTAATATGTTTTATTATTTTATTAATTGTAAGTAGAGCTGAAAATCAGATGCAGATAAATAGAGTATGAGATCCATTACAGATTAAAGAGAACATAACACCAAATATAAACTAATCTCTGCACAAAATCCATGAATTTTCATTGATGTTTCACTTCTTTAATGGGAAAAAAAAGAGTCCGGAGCTCATGATATTTTCTTACGTCAGGAGCAAAGTTAAACTAGCAAAAATGTAAGATACTTACTTGAAGAACATGACCTTGTTGAAGTACAAAACAATTATCATGTAGTTTTTATATAAATGCCTTCAAAAAAAAAAATTTTTAACAGTCGTTTCCTGATGCGATTTTTTCCTTATTTAAATTTAAATATGGTGGATTAAAAAATTTGCAACTAATTTCTGCTATTAAAGAAATATCTCCTTGGAATGTGAAAACAGTTTCCCAAAATTTTTGGTTAAATTCTTTGTTCAAGTTCCAGGTTTCTTTAATAAGTTTTCGATCCTCTTTCTCTGTTCTTTTCTTTCCATTGAATTTGGTAATCAGTGATTCAATGGTGATTGGATTTAATCACTTCTGGCATATTTGGATTTCTTCTCATGGCATGAACTCTTGATATAACATATTTGGATTTCTTCTATTACGACTTGTGAGGTTATTTGTTCACATGAGCTTGGTTTGTTTTTTAATTTTTCTTTTTGGGTTATTGTTTCGTATGAATCCTCTTTAGTGCCAACTAATTATGGCTTAATTATTTTGCTTCTTTATGTAGTTTGGACGCTTATTTTTGTTTTACTTTCTTACATTAGAGTCATTTGGTTGCTTGTAAATAGAAAATATATTTTAGAGAATAAGGATTTTATTTTCTAAGCTACCAAGTAAACTCCTAGGTTGATTCCATCTTTTATCACAGAAAATATTGCATTTATCTTTTGTTTAGTATCGCACCATCTTACAGCATTTAATTGATTCATTTTGATATAGAACAGATCATTGCGGGTGATCCAGAGAGTGTGACCGAGACCTGCATGAGCAACGTTTATAGCTTTGGCATGGTCTTATGGGAGATGGTAACCGGAGAAGCCGCATTCTCTTCCTACTCGCCAGTGCAGGCGGCGGTAGGCATCGCCGCCTGTGGATTGCGGCCAGATATACCTAAAGACTGTCCTCCAGTTCTAAGGTCTCTGATGATAAGGTGCTGGAACAATTGCCCAACCAAACGACCTCAGCTTTCAGAAATTGTTGCCATCTTGCTGAAACAAAGCAGTTCATAACGGTGAGCTCCAATCTCCTCGAACTCCAATTCTTGGATGAGCAAAACTAATACTGTAAGATATAAAAAAGCAAGTTGATTTGTCCATCTTGAAATTGTCCAGAATTGAGAACAGATCATTCATTCTCCTCAGCATGGTTAAGATATCACATGAGATGCAAGAGATTGATGAAGGCAATAGAGCATGCTCATTATTCAATTCATAATTTGGTTCCAAAGAGCTTGTGAGAGCCTTCTTTTGTTTCTTTTGGTTGGTCCTTCTGCTTTGTGATTGCACAAAAATTTGTTATTTTGTCGCTTGGAGTTGTCAGTGTGTCAAGGATGGGTAAGTAATGGGGGGCCTTTGTATCCGGTGATGTTCACTCCTCTCATCTTATATGAAGATCTAATTGTGGATCACTTTACGTAATTTTTTGCTGCATCTTTAACGCTTTCTGATACAAAATATGAGGAATTACAGTCTAGGGCTCGCTAACAAATATTTTTTTTCTAAGGGTTGAAATTTGTGGGTCTCACTATGCTATTAATTATTGTATGGGTCATTAAGCATATAAATTTAGGAGCTTAGCCATTAAACCTTCTTTATTATAATCATTATATTGTAATTTATGTGCTCTTTTAATCCACTTAATTGTTAGTGACCCCTATTTTTGGGGTTTTTTATTTTATTTTATTTTATGTAGCTAGTATTGATCTATTTTTATATGTAATATTCTTAGAAAAGTTTTTATAGATCTCAAATCCTTATATAAATTGTTCATTGTTTTACTTTTTGCTGGGTTATTAGTTTTTAGATGCAGGTGTATGTACTTAATTACGGCACTCAAATAATATATTGTATTCACTCAATTAAGGACTATGATGTATGTTTGAATGGGTGGGTGGATGCGTGTATGTGTACGGGCTTATGCGTGTGTGAAAATTGATCCATAAGTGTTTATACTTTTGGTTGAGATTTACTCTTGCAAATCCAAAAATTTAATATGAAAATTGGAGATGACATCTTGATGCAAATAAAAATTTGTTTTTTATGAAAAAATTTCAAGTATTTTATAAAAATTGTCTTCCTAAATTTTGAATGATGTTAGGTGTGTGTTTATATATATATAGGACTGTTAAATATTGACACGACATAATAACCTAACCTTAACTCGACCTGAAATTCTTAAGTTATGGTTAACCCGTTTAAAAATGAATCGGGTTTGGGTTTATAATTCCGATTTGTTTAAAATTTTGGGTCGAGTTCGGGTTAACCTGAGAACTCGATGTTGTCTCCCTATGATGCACGGTTTAGTTAGGCCTACGTCTATGATTTAAAGATTTTAGTCTCAACTCTCGGCCGCTATTCTTCTCATTATGTTGCATATCTACTCTCAGTTCTGCTCTCATTCTCTTACTTTGTCTAGACTTTAGGGTTTTCTCTCCTCGATTCTCAAGTATTCTCGAGCTCGAAACTCTCTTCGGTTCTCCAATATTTGTTGCTTAGTCAAGCTCAATCTTGTCTCTTGTGTTCTTAAGTCTTGGTTCAGACGTTCAGTGTGTTCATCATGCACATCTCCTCAGTCTCAAGAAGAGCACTTACCCTGTTGTTTGTATCTCTTTTCTATTTTTTTATTTTTTTTCCTTTTACAAGCTTCAGCTTTGAGCATCTATGGGTATTAAAATTTTTTTAAGGATTTTGGCAGGTTAGTTTGTTCCTTTCAAAGGAATGATTTATTTTTTCATCTGTTGCTATCATGTTGAATTTTGTCTCGGTTTATCTCAAATAATTATTGCATACATTAGTTGGTTAGGGATTCTTTTATTACCTAGTTTTTTTTTTTTTATTTGTTAGAGTTTTGCATTGTTCAAGGTTATTTACTTGTTCTTTTTATTGATTCATTGGAATGTTCTTCTTGTTATTCCTTCCCTTCATACGTCTACCATACAGGCTATAGTTTGTGGCATGCAGTGATGGTGTGCTGAAATAAATTGAGCTCTAGTGTCCCTTTCAGTTAGTTAATGTGTTATAATGTTATTGTAGTTTATGTGTTATATTGGAATAGTAGTTAATGTGTTAAAAATTTGTTATAGCAAGGTTTTGCATTTTTTTTAACATAACATTCAATAAATTGTTAGAAATTTGCATTGAAATATATTATCATATTTTGGCTGAATGGAGGATTCTTTTTTTTTTTTTTTTGGGACATTTAGGCCATTTAAGGCAAACTCACACACACAACGCATACACATAGACTCGAATCCTGGACCTCTTAGTTGGAAGCCTAAGCTCTCAACCAATAGGCCAAGGAGAGTTGTGTTAGATGGAGGATTCTAATACCATTCTTGAGAATTTTTCTTTTGATGAAAATGAAGAAGTTTAGGCTTTTGAAAATGTTATAGAGCCCTCTAACAATGTATCTAATGATAAAGGGACAGTCATTAAGAAGCAGAGAAGGATGACTTCAGCTGTCTGAAGCCATTTTGAGATATTGCCTAATACAAAAGATTGAAAGCAAACAATATAAATGTAGAAATGTGGTACTATATTTATGTAATAGCAAAAAAGGAACTGGTAATATAAGGCATCACCTTCAAAATTGCAAGAAAAGAAATATGTATGATATAGGACAGTTGATCTTACAAACAGATTTTGTTTCATCCATATATATTTTTGATAATAAGTTAAATCAATCAGAATTTCATAACTTATTTACTGCATTTATCGCTATGCATGATTTTCCATTTTAGTGTGTTGAGTGGGTTAGCATCTGAACACTTTTGATATATCTTCGTTGGGACTTACAATTATTTTCTAGGAATACTGCTCAAAATGATTGTAATTTTTTTTTTCACAAAGGAATATTGTAATATAAAGGCATAGTTATCTAAATTCATTAGCAAGGTTTGTTTACCATCAGACCTATAGAATTTTATAAATATTGATGGGTTTATATGCTTAACAATACATTTTATTGATAATGAATGGCACTTGCAAAAGAAAATTTTTAATTTTTCTTTCATGCCACCCCCTCATGATGACATTACTTTATTTGAGAAACTACAATGTCTTTTTATAGAGTGAAAAGTAGATTCTAAACTCTTCAGTATTACTTTACATAATGCTTACACAAATAATATTTAAGTTGAATTTCTAAGAAATCATTTAAATTTACGTTGTGGTTTATTAAGTGATGGTGATTTTTTCATGTGCATTGTACTACCTATATTGTTAATCTCATAGTGCAAGAAGGTTTAAAGGAGATTGATGGTTAAATAACAAAAATCAAAGACAGCACTATGTATGCGAAAGGATCTCAAGCAAGGAAGCAAAGTTTCTTGATTGTGTCACACAAAGTTTCCTAGATGGAAAGAGATGATTGCGTCATGATATTCCAACTAGATGAAACTCCACTTTTATTATGCTCGAAAGTGCTATATATTTTCGACAGTCTTTTCAACAATTAGAGTTTGGTTGATTCAAATTTTAAGAATTGTTATACTTCTCTTGAATGGAAAAAAGTTGAGGTTATTTGCAAATTCTTGACTCCTTTTCTATGGGATCACTTGTGACATTTTTTAGTCAAAGTACCCAACAACAAATTTATACTTCTCGTGTATTTTAATAGCGTATGCAAAACTGAAAAAATGAAATGTTAAATGGTCATCCATACATAAAGAAAATGACTACTGAGATGATTAACAAGTTTGAGAAATACTGGTTAGAATTTACTGATATATTAGGAATAACTATCATTTTAGATTGAAGATATAAATTTACTTTCATTTGAGTGGTTTTGTTAGAGATTTTATGATGGAGATTATCTCTTCGAATTAAGAAAGGTTAAACTTAAGTCAATCTCTTTGTTTGGTAACTACAGTTCAAGAGGGAATGGTTCATTAGGGCAACGTTCATATGCATCTAGAATACCGTATATTATTTTATGAAGGAGCACATCATCACTAATAATTAAGTCACAATTTCTACATATAGTATCTTCATTATTGTCTACGAGTATCTTCACTCCTTCCATAATGTTTTGTTTTATGAGTTATGATGAGTTTCAAAAAATAGGATTTTGAGTTATGTGAGCAAGAAGTCATAATGCCTAGGAAATCATAATTAGATATTCATCTTAATGAACTAAAACTTGATAGAAAGAATGATTTAGATTTAGATTTATTGAAATTCTAGCAATGCAACCAATAAAGATTACCTGGTGTTTCTACAATGGCTCATGATGTATTGTACATTATAATAGCTATAGTAGCATCTGAAAGTTCCTTTAGCAATAGAGGTAGAATTTTACAGCAATATCCAAGTGCATTGAAACATGAAATTATTGAGACACTAGTTTGTATGAAGGATTGGTTATACGGTGAATGGGGTGCTTTCTTGTTCATCTTTATAAATGGTTCCATTTGTATTAAGTACATTAACAATTTTAAAGCTTTTTTGTGAGCTCAAATCTATTTTCTTCTATTTGTTGCAATATGATATTACCTCGAAGTTGATGTTGTACTAATTATGATGAGTTTCAAATACAAGCAAGCTATTTTGATGACTATCATGCCTGTGATTTATTTCCTTTTTAGTATCACCATCACCTAGCATTTTATTTAGTTGTAAGGTAGTTAGTTAAGCCAAATTATGGTTTTTCCAAGTTCTTTCACTTGGTTTCTTGCACTGCTTCCTCCTGCTAAAATTATGTGGTATAATTCGACAGCTGTGTTTTTGGCTTATAACTGTTTGCTTGTTGTTATTCTCATTTTGTAAATTCTTTTGGTTGTAATATCTTATGGATATTGTGTTAGTACCTATCATCTCTATTGATTTTGGGGTTAATTGCTTCAATTGTGGTTTGTGTTTGTAGTTTCCCACCAATACCATGTAGCTGTTATGAATAAGCTTGCTCAACTTATGTTGTCTCTTGATATGTTATGTAGTTGATTGGTTGTTATTTTGATGTGTTTGTTATTTGAGCCTTTGGGGTTGGCGGTTTGCTGTATTGTTGAAACCTGCTATCATATATTTTTGGCAATTTTATGAAGTAGATAATATATAATTAAATGAACATATACTAACAAAACTAATACAAATTTTCACCTTGGATGGTAATATACCAATATTTATTATGCTTACAATTCATTATGTGATTAATAATTTGGAGGGTTTAATCTGAGCTATGTATTTAAGTTTTCTAACTATTTAAAGAAATATTGTTTACATTATAAAAATCAATTAAAAAATCCATTTAAGAAATGTAGTGAATGTTATAAACTTAAAAAATTCAACTTATTTACTTCCACATTACTTAGGAACTTACTGCTTAAATTTTTTATATTGCTTTTTTTGTGTTTTTATGTGATAAGAAATCACATGACTAAGCATTATTAGACCTGAAATCTAATAAGAAAAAGCCACCCCTA